TTCCTCTTTGTTGGGATGCATCGCTCCTGAGCTTGAAGGAGGTGATCCTTGAACGTCACCCAGCTTTCCTGGGCCCCTCTTCCCTCCAGGGCTTTGTCCCATGGCACTCTACCAAGCAGATCCCTGAAGAGGCCAAAGTCTGCTCTCCTGAAGTCCAGGGTAGTGAGCTTGCTGCGCACCCTCCTCGGTACCCTAAGGATCTTGAACTCCACCATTTCATGGTCACTGCAGCCCAGGCTGCCCTTGAGCTTCACATTCCCCACCAGCCCCTCCTTGTTGGTGAGAGCAAGGTCCAGCATAGCACCTCTCCTTGTTGGCTCCTCTACCACTTGGAGAAGGAAGTTATCATCGACGCATTCCAGGAATGTCCCAGATTGCTTATGCCCTGCCGTGTTGTCCCTCTTACATGGCAATACAACTATTCTCTCTACCAAGAGAGCAATGTTTTTGTCTATGGCACATGGTGAGGGAGGTAGTGTAGCTGTGTGAATCAACAAAAAAAGAAAAAAAGAAAAAAAAGAGTAGCTCCTTCCATTAGCACATGTTGCATGCAATTACCCTGCAGGCAGAGTTATAATGGCAGATGCACTATGGCATAGATGGGTCTACATTTGCCCATTTAAAAAAATACTTCTGTCTTCCTTGCTGCTATGTAAAAAAAAAAAACAGCCAACAACCATACAGAAATCAAGCAAACAGTAACACAACTAATTATTTCCTATTACAGGCTGTAAACAAAAGAGAGGGTGTGGAGGTGCTTTGACCTGTTCTTTCAGCGGTACGACTCCTGTTCCTCTACAAATCACCGACCACTTTCCTTTTAATCCATTGGAAACATAAGCTATGAATGTTTATCTGCTGACCAGCAGCTAAGTTAAATGGCTACAGTAGCCTAAGAGACTATGAAGAGTGATAATAAAAAGGCAGCATCAAGATACACCTGAAAATAAGCTGCTTCTAGCTGTCATGTAGGGTTTCTTCATAAAGTATCCCAGCCACAGAACCAGCTCAGTGCTGCCTACCACACGGTACTCTCCTCTCTGGGCTACTGTCTCATTAAATGTAGTCGGGGGTTACAAAGTCGTTACTGGGTGCAAATGGAGCTGTGAGGCATTTGCTAGGAAGCCCCCCTTTACTTACTTTCCATCTTTTAATTTCCTGAAGTTTATTGAGCATCATTCAGTTATTTTGCAAATTTGTGAGAATGCAAGTAAGACACTGTTTAAACTTGACATAGAATGAATGGCTTCTGATATGCTAGGGTTATTGGATATGATGTTTTCGCATACGTTCATTTTTAGGAAGTGAATTTAATTATAATTGAATACAGCATCTTCATTCCCAGGAAATAGGACTTTTATTTCCTATTAAAAAACTGCAAGAGTTTTTTTAACAACTTCTGAAGTAAATGTCACTAACGAGTCCTAATATTACAATGATTTCTCCATTTATGACATGTAATAGGCTTTCTCTAGACACCGCATATTAATAATACAGTAACAATATGGCATTTGGACTGCTTAAATGAAAGTAAGGTCTCCCTGCTGACACCAGGTGTAAGGTGCTTATGTCATCAAAGATAACCACAAAGTGTGAGCACCATGTAAATAATTTTCTATTCCTATCTATTAAAGCTCTAGAAACTGGAAGAGTTAATCAGTTCAAGCACTGTATAAACCACCTTGCAGTTAACAGGGAAGGGCAACAAAAATAATCAAAGTTGTGGACCGGCTTCCATGCAAGGAACAAATAAACACGGTAAAGCTCTTCAGCCTGGAAAACGTGACTGAGGGGAGAAAAGAGAGAGGACTAGGAAATCATGAGAGGCGGGGAATAGGTGACTATGGATGAATTTACTGAAGGTTCCAGTACAAGAATATCAAATAATACAAGGAGGAGGCAGGTGCTGAACAAACAAAATGAGGTAATTCATCACTGAATTCACGCTTAGGCTATAGAGCACCCTACTACCGGATGATGCAGATCTCAGAAGCTTACCTTGGTCCAATATGCGAGGCTAGTTTGACTTGCTTGACTAATCACAAAATGTAAATGCCTAGAAAATAAAGAAGGCACAGATGAAGGGAAAAATCTGTCAGAGAAGACAGATGTACATTTGCACAAAGTCTTTGTCTAACCATCTGATTATTGGCAAAACTATAGCAAATTTCTAAAAGTACTTTAATGGATTAACCAAAATGAAAATGCTGCTATATAAATTACTTGCTCTTTTCTCCCAATTCTAGTTATTACTGACAAGAAACTGGAAGGAATACAAGTAATTATATACAAACTGAAAGAGGTTTGATAAATTATTTCTGGTTTTTAATAATTTCTTGAAATATTTTACCTTATGCTATAATATACAAACCGAACGGTCTCATTTTACTCATAAGATGTTTTTGTTAAGCTCAGCAACATTTTTTCTAGGCCAGATAAAATGAAATAGTATTGGATACTCATTGGGAAGCTGTTGCTGTATTTCCCTTGATCTGTCAGCACATGGTATTTATGCATTTCTCTACACGGCTTTGATAGAATATTGCTGATTTTAATCTGTTCTCTTTAATGTATTTTCATATCCAGTGACTGGAGAGGTCACAGAGTAATGGGAATATTGACAGGTCTGGTTCTAAGCCCTCGACCATAAAGTGGGCTTTAACGGTGAGCATTTACAAAAGCTGGACTGATGGGAAGCTAACAGAGGTTGTTCGCCATTGAGCAAAGACCGAAAGAAAAATCTTGGTGTTGCAAAGGCATTTATATGGGTAAAAAGCACCACTGTGTTTGCCGGGGCAGGGGGGGGGAGGAATCTTCCTGCAAACCAGGCCTATTTTCTTCAAATAAACTCCAAGGAAACAGCCTCTGCCAAGCTAGGATCTGATTACCCGTTGCAGGCCTCAGACCATAGCCATTACTGTTTTAACATTTCTGCCTTCCTCTTTATCCCAGCGGGAACCAGGCTGTATGGGCTGCCGTGTAACTTGACCTTGCTTGGAGATAAAAAGACAGGTTAGCACACAGCGATTGCAAAGCCAGAAGCAAAAAGACAGTATTTAGAAAATAAAGGAAGGAGCTGGCACGGTATGATTATGTGTAATGTTCTACGCTGTGCGGCATGGGTGGCCCGATGAACAGTTCCCGTCTGTGAAACCCAGGCAGAAACTTGGACTTGGTCATAGTTTCTCCATTTTTAACCTTGTCCCTGCAGAGATGCTGTGATTTTCATCACTAAGATACTAACAATGATGATTTGAGATTATGAAAAAAAGGAAAGAAAAAGGGAAGGAGAAAACAAAGAAATCTACGTAAAATTTTAGCACTTTCGGTAAACAAAATGACTAGTAAATCAGCAGAAAGAGCTGGATATGAATCTTTAAGTCTTTGTTGCTCTTTTACTACTGTCCTCTGAGCTTTCCATGCAACAAGCCAGTGAGCCCAGAGGTCAGCAGCAATTAGGCATGACATGTTTTAAAGTGTCTCAGGGATGCTAAAGAAAATAAATGCTCAGTGATTAAGCATTCAGCATCTAAAAGCTGAAGAAAAGTGTAAAGTGAACAAGAGATTTTGTTACGATCAACCGTGGGTGCTCAAACTGGTATGACAACTGTACATCACACATGTAGTCACTGTCAAAACCCAAGCAAGCCACTGCTGCAAGGCCACGAGGTCCCAGCTAAATCATGGTGGAGGCAAAGGGATAGATTTCCTTTGGCTTGTCTCAACTACCACCTCATCTCACAAAAACAAAGCAAACCAAAACTCAGCTCATGGTAGTTTGCTGTTTCTATGATATCATAAAGATTTCAAGCCAAGAGCAGTAGAAGCATGTTTTTTCATATCGGACCATATGGCAGATAGTAAGTATCGGAGGTTCTGATCGCTGATAACTTCCTATATAGGCATGGGCAGAAAATGCCATTTCTGTAATCAAGTTTCCTGACAGATAATGCCATGTCATTCTTCACACATCCTCACTCTCTCTCTTATATCTTTAGGTTATAAGCTCTTCAGAGCAAGTACCCTTGTGGTGCTCTGATCACAGTTAGACCATTTTAGTACTATTACAGTATGTGTCAGACCAGAGAAGGAGTTGCAGCTCAGTTAGCTCTAGTTAGGCGGGACTTTTGGTTGCAGTCTTGGCTTTATTTTGAATGGCTCCTCAAAATCATACAAGGTTCTGATTAAAGACACAACAAAACCACCTGTAGTCTCAATCATCTGTACTGATGTCTTGTCAGTGGGAGGAGCTGGTGCTTGTGAGGAGGTGGCCCATTTGCAGCTTTCTAAATCCCAGTTAGTTTTTCCAGCTATTATTTACACATAGCAGAATACATTTTGCATCTTGGGCCTTTGGACTTACTGAGACCAAACCAAGGATTATGCTGCTTGGGCCATCAAACCTGACTTTGCCCTGCAAAAGAAAAATTATGAACCTGCACCTACCCCAAAAGTGCTTGAACTTCTCAACAGACAAAGAATTAAGTTGCATGATGTGTTTGGAAAGCTTTATTTTCCTCATAATTTTACCTTGTGTGAATTGTGTATGCTCTGGGGTGACCAAAAAGCAAAAATCCCCAGGGAAAAAAACAGCATTAAGCCTGGTTACAGCATCCTGCCACAGCTAAATGGTTCTTTTTTAACTACTTGATGGAAAAACCAAGCTTACTTTCTTTGTGTTTTTTCCCCTTCCAGACTCTGACGGCACCTGCTCCATTTGCAGATGAAACAAGCTGTCAGTGCCAAGCCCCCCATGAGAAGCTAACGATTGCACAAGCCCGCCTGGGAACACCAGGTATGTGTAGAGAGCAACATCGGCAGGACCATGGGTGCTGGGACCCTGGGACCAAAGCTCTCCCTTACAAACATCTGTCAATGCTCACTTGTGCCTTCCACTTGGAAGCAGAAAGGCCGGCCTGGTATCTGGTGCTATCAGGTAATGGGGAAGAAACCAGTAACTAGAGGACCATTATCTTCTGCTAGGGAAACAACAGGAGAAAATGTTTCAAGTTGGAGTTTGATGTTTTCGTGGATGTCTGCATGTTGGTTGCAAGGAAGGCTTGCCAGTCCACTCCAGCCAGCCTGAAAATTGTGTTGTGTAGTGGCTACCTCCTGGATTCTCTTCCCGTACTGCCTCTGTATGCTGGAAAACCTCTTCTTTCTCTGATGTTTCTGTTGATTACATCAGACCTTAAGGGGCCTTCAAGGTCATTTGCCCTTTGAAAAAAAAACATGCCTGATTTTGGAACTCTTTTTCTGGACATTTTTTCCAGACCTGCCTTTGTGATTGGGCTGGGGAAACAGGATGATTTCACATAAAGTCCCAAATACCTACTTCAGCCCCCCTAAATTCCAAGAGATTCTTTAAAAAAAGCCTTCGTATACTTATCTCACATTATCTTATTTATTATATCACTTATCTTATTTAAAATAAGCTTTTAAAGTACATACACTTTATACGGGTAAGCTGCAGCTTTCCAGTCAGCTCTGCAAGGAACAATGTTCTCCCGTGGACCCTTGGGTGTCCTGACAGCAGAGACATCTCTCTGTGGCTCTGAAGCACTGTCCATGGGGGTTGAAGCTCTGTTGCTCTCATCTCCGCTGTCCTTTTGCTTGGAGATGGCACAGCTGTCAGGCGTGTCATTTGGTAAAGCAAGTCCTTTTTCTGTCTGGAGGCTGCTGCTGAAGATGTCGCACAGAAAGCAAGAGTTATAAGGGTGATAGCAGGAGGATGGTGAGAAAAAGAAATGATAGGCTCGTTAGAGAGAAGAGAAGAGCTTGGGGGAAGTATGAAAAAAGGGAAGCGAAAGGTTTATGTGGAAGAGGTAAGCAATACATTTTTACAGCAGTAAGCTGTGGAAAAAAGTCACAGACAAGAGGGGAGGAAAAGGGAGATGATAGGAAAAAATAAGGAAAATTTTGAAAAAATCCAGGAAGCAGAACTGGCTAGAAAGGCAGAGAGAAGAGAACAAGACATATGGTGGAACTCCGAATGAGGCAGGAAGATGACATTTTTGCTAAATTAGAATACGGGGATGATGGATGATAATAAATAGGCTAAGTCTGAGAGAAAACAGCAGAGAGTACAGAGAAGAACAAGTAACGAGCAGGATAAAACACTGCGAGTTCACCCCTGGTGCATTTTGAACATCAGAACTGGGGTAAATCTCCACAATCATCTTATCTGGGAACAAAAACCTGTCTGGTAGAATTAAGTGCAACTTGTTTTGGGTCTGAAAAATCACTGTTGTATTTCTTTCTCCACAGTTGACAGACCCGTCAGAGTGTATGCAGATGGGATATTTGACCTCTTCCACTCTGGCCATGCTAGAGCTCTTATGCAAGCCAAAACTCTATTCCCAAATAGCTACTTATTAGTAGGAGGTAAGATGAGAGTTATTTATCACGCTGGATTTTTGCTTCTGTGCTTCAGTATCAGAGAGTTATTGCCTTGTTCGCACCCCCAGCTGTTTATACACTGTGACTTTGAATGCTGCTTTCACTCTGGGGGCTTTCTATAGGCGATTTGCCTTGAATTACGTCTTACAATTGCATCAATTAAAGTAAAAGTCAAATTCTGCCCTCAGCAGCACAGGCACAATTCCCATTCTAGTTAAAGCAGGTGCCTGCATGACTCTGAGCTTAGAATAGCTCCATATGAATAATTTACCTTTTTCAGTTATTCGCTCAAAATTGTTCAAAGATGGAGATGAGTGAATGACATCAACCGCTCATTTATTTCTGGCTCCTCGGTCCCTCCGCCAGCCAGGCACAGCCCACATCCCCTGGCTGCCAGGTCAGTACTGTGTGTGCAGACCCAGCCCTCAGCATCAGCAGGGAAGCTAAATCCAGCCCGTTATCATTGGAGACCCAAATGTAGGTCATGATTTGAACATAGTTTTCAGCTCACAAGTGTCCCCAGGCAGGTTACTTCCTTACCGTTTTTTTTGCCATGAATATCTTCTGGTTTTTGCTCTGCGGCTGGCTAACAGCTGTTCAGCAGTTTGTACGTGCCTGAGGAGTCACCGGAGGGTGGCTGTGTCCTGCCTAGCTGGCTGTGCAAGCCCTGCTCTCGTGAGGCCTCAGAAACATGCATTTGGGTTCCAGTTTCCCCGCACCTTTGGGGTTGAGATATGCCTCGCGTAAACATTTCACAGCAACCTTCAACTGCTCAAATGCTTACAGCGGTGATGATAAAGCGAATGTGAATGCAACCTTCAGACACATTATACGATGCATCATTTTGCATCTTTGTCCCAAATCAGTTGAAAGGCAGGGAAAAAAAGACCCAACAGAGAGGAAAAGCAAAAATCTCCTTATAAACACACTTTTTCGTTTTACTCTTAAGTTTGAATCGTGGCAATTCCCATGGAGCTTCCTGGGAGGGAAAGGAGACATCCCTTTGTTATGAAGGAAACCTTTAGGACTCTCTT